CAGAGCTTAGATCTGGTTTGGGATACCTAGCTGAATGGAAGCTAGAGCTCACTGTTACCAAGGATCACACTCACACATACTAATTTGTTGAACAGTTTACTCCGTAAACATAGAGGTACAGAGATTTTCTTTTCAAATACAGCAGAGAGAAGTGCGGGCAATAGGTGTGAACACCGCTCCCCTAGGCGCCCTTGCTCTCCAGGTGCACCAGTCAGTGGAAACGGACCAGCAGTGCACACACACAAAAGGGACGGCAACCCTGTCTGCCCCAATCTTGTATGTGTAGCACTGCCGGCCCAGAGCTCAGGGGTCATCACGGGACACATTCTGCTCTGTGCAAACATATACCATAGAGTAAGCATATATAACTCGCTCACATGCTTTGGGCTGCCCTGTGATCATCAATTTGGAGATAAACACACACTACCATTCTGATGGCTACAGTGGTATCAAGTCCATGGTTTAAACGCTGCTTTAACATGCCCACTCTCTTACATACACTAGATCTGCTTCCCCATCTTCTTGTGAATCTGAGCTTGATGTGTTAATAAATGTTAATGATAGGAATGAGAGCAATGCTGTAATGAGAACCTCAGATTACAAATGTCACTTCGCTTGCATTCTCCCTCCATCTTAGCAGTGACTGCTTCTGTGGGCACTTCTAATGATGGAGGTGTTGTAAAATACCTAAGTATAATGATTTAAGTATTCAATAAAGTTGGTGTTCCCTGCTTTATTTAATCTTAGAATTCTGAAAGTAACCGCCTCTATGACAAGATGTCAAGACTACCTGGATACAATGAGTAATGACTGATCTAAATTGCGAAGACCCCACAAAAGAAATAAACAATGATCAGAGAAGCATCACCTGATCCACAGAGGGGACCATGGAACAGTTACTTGTCATCCTTGTGAGCTGGTCATGAGATGTTACAGTGCCTGCTTCTAAGCTGCAGACAGACATCATGAGGTAAAGTTTTCTAAGCTGAGAGTGAGCACGGCCTTTCCCTTCACTTTGTGACAAATGCAGGGGGCCAGGGGAGAGTTGTGCTGGTGGAAACCATTTTGCTATCACACAGAGAGCACACAGTCCTGTTACAGAGAAACCATTAGAGGTAACAGTGCTGTAATCCAATTATGTCCACGCCTCGAAACACTGATTTCGTTGGCTAATTCCCTAAAGACAGGACCAGAGAAAAACACAAGTTTATTGGCACAGACTGTATTGTGAATGGTATCTTTCGGGGTTATACAAAATGGAAGACCTGCATGAAAAGCTTCTTCAAAATGCATATACGCAGGGAGTCTGCTTCTCCCTCTGCCCCTCCCCCCTCTCATGTGCTCTCTCTCTCATTCTAATAAATAAATAAAATCTTTTAAAAAATGCATATTGAAATGCAAAAGCACCTGGAGAGAAAATGCAGCTGTGTGGCCTGATGGCAATTACTTCCCTTCAAAAGCCGTCCGGGTACCAAGAGAAAAGGACGAGGTGAGAGCGGGTAAAGGAAGGTAAACTTCCTAAGAGGTATCTGACAAATAACAGCGGTTGGGGCTGCTCTGTTGGGGCTCGTTGGTAGTCTACTTCAACCTGACCGCCTCTAACTTCACCAGACACTATGCTGTTGGTGACGGGCACCAGTGTGGAGCCTTTAGAGAGACTCTGTGGCAATTCTGACTACAGACATGGAAATCTTGTCCATGGGTTACAGAGTACATGGATCATATAGAAAAGCAGCAGAATATGGAATATGGAGGGTATGCACAGCAGTGTTTCTAAAGGACATACTGGGACCTATGAGGCATCATTCCTTTCTGCCTCACTCAGGACCTGGTTATCTTTTTCCTTGTCCATACATACTGAACATAAATGCCAATGTGTTTTTGTAAACTGCTTGGCTAATCTAGAGTAGCATTAGACTTCATAAATGTTTTGGTTTCTATTACTGAAGAAGGGTTAGTAATAACTGCAAGACCATTGGATACGCAGCAGATGATAATCTGTGGAGCCATTTACATTTGCAGCAAAACAAAACAAAAAACACAAAGAACTTTGTTACTTGTCATAATTGCTACTGAATTGTTTAAAAAAAAAGAGAAACTACTGACATTTAGTGTGGGAAATCTCGACAGATGTCAGTCTCTGCCCTATGAGGCACATGTACCAGTAATTGACACACTCAAAATGTTGTTAAATGCTCATCCTTCAACATGGCACAGAAAACAAAGGGTACACTCAAAATATTAACTCAGCAACATTTAATAGAGGGACTATTTACAGATACGTGTTCAGAATTAAGGACACCAACTAGGGGTGGTGAAGCATCTGAAGAGCAAGGAGAGGGAGGCGTGAACTGAGAACGGAGTGTCTACAGGCCCCGAGGAGGACTGCCCAGCGGGAGCTGTAACCATACAGGCACAGACTCTGCCAAAACCAAGGTCCAGTAAGGGAGGGCGGGGAGGAATAAATGTCCTAGCCTCTCTCCTCCCACGGCTGATCTAGCACCTCAGCAGAAACCCTAGAGGGCAGCCCCCGGGGTGCAGAGAGAGGAGGGGGAACAGGGAACAAGTAGCACGTATGCAGGTCCATCACACGTGCAACTCTGCTGAGTAGATGCTACAGATACAAGTCACCCTGAGCCCTGGGGAAGCAGATTTCTGACTCAGATGATGCAGTCTATTTAACTATTTTAGAAAATTCATCCGTAAGTGTTGTTGTTGTCATATACTTTACTTCTAAATAGATCATAACCCACAATACATTGTCACTATTTGGCTTTAAGCAATTGACTACCTTTTTAAAAGATTTTAAAATGAGAAAAAAATCTTTTATATTTACCCAGATATTTACCATTCCCAGAACTCTTCATTTCTTGCTGTAGATACACATTTCCACCTAGGATTATTTTCCTGCTGCCCCCAAACTTACTTAAATTTTCCTGAAGGAAGGCCTACAGCTAATACATTCTCTTTGATTTTGTTTTCCTGAAAAAGTCTTCTTACCTTTAATTTTTGAAAGATATTTCTGATGGTTAATACACAAACGCCAGGTTGCAGGGGTTTTATTTTCTCCCTCAGTAATCCAAAGTGGTCGCTCACTCTGCTGTCCTGTGGCTCAAGCAGTCTCTGCCCAGGGCGAGCTGGCCTGCTCTGTTCTGTGAGCGCATCCTGTTTTTCCCGAGGCGCTTTACAACTGTTCTTCATCCATTTGACTATGATGTCCATTAGCAGGATTCTTTTTATGTATCTTGTTTGGATATGCGGAGTGATATGCAGAGTGACACTTTTCATCCCATTGGTAACAGTTTCAGCCCTTGTTTATTCAGATACATTGTTGCTTCTCTTTTCACGGACCTTGTCTGGGGTTCTTTGAACTCCTTGAGTATGCGGAGTGACACTTTTCATCCCACTGGTAACACTTTCAGCCCTTGTTTATTCAGATACATTGTTGCTTCTCTTCCCTGTCCTCTCCTCCTAGGACTCTGCTCCCCTCCACTCTTTTCTTCCAGGCTGTTTTTCTCTGTTCATTTGTTGGACAGTTTATATTCTTACTTAAATTCATCAATTTTTCTTCTTCTATGTCTCATCTGTTCTTAATTTCACCCAGAGTTCGTTTTTTTGGTCTTTTTTTTTTTTTTTTTTTTAATTTTCAGATACTGCTGTTTTCATCCTGAGAAGTTCCACTTGGGCTTTTTAAAATACACCTTCCACTCTGGTCTTGTCACGTTCATGTCTTCCTCTATATTCGAAAGAGCTGCTTGAACACCCTTGTCCAATGCCAAGTGCTCCAGTCTCTTTTATGTCTTCTACTGATTAATTTTTGTCCTGGTCACAAGTCGTATTCTCATTTCTTTGCATGTCGGGTAAGTGTTTAGATGCCAGACATTGTGGGTCCAGAGCAGCTTTTAATCTAGGGTCAGTTACTTCACAAGATCATACTCTGCTGGGAATCCTACTGATGCCCCATGTGTTCAAAGCTGTTCCAATCTAGCTGGTGGGAACTTTATTCCCATCCCAGCACTGACTTCTGGGAACTGTTCTGGCGCCCGCTTTCCAGCACGCCTTTTCCTTTCACACACATGCAAATCAGCACTAAGCCAAAAGACTCAAGGGGACTTCTCACAGATTTCTGTAGCCCTCTCTCTGGAAAGCGCCCTCTTCTCCTTTCCCTGCAAATTCTAGCTACTGTGCCCTCCCCAAAGGCCACATCAGCAGCTCTCTTCGACAAGACCACGTGTTCCTTTCCCTGAACAGCAGCCTGGGAGCTGCCACCAGGTGCTAGGCTGGGCTGTTGTGGGGCTCACCTCACTCTGTCCACCTTCTGTCGGGGATCACAAGCTTCTGCTTGCCATAAGTCTCAAAACTATTCTTTCACATACATTTTACAGTTTCTAGATGTTGAAGGCAGGGGAGTTCATCTGGTCCTTGCTGTACCACCACAGCAGAAAGCAGAAGTCTTCACACTTAAAACACATCTACCATTTAAAAATAACTATTTCTTATAATAACTTACATACAACAAACACAGTGTTATAGAATTCCTTCAATAGGATCATGCTTATCAAAATTCTTCACATGAGGACTTCTCCATATTGAAATCTCTCATTCATACTATTCAGTATTTCCTTTGTGTATGCATTCTCTAGTGTACTGAGTTATCCTTTCTTGATGAAACCTCTCACTTGCTTTTTACAACAGTCCAGTTTCTCCTCAAGTGTAGGTCCTCTAACAATGAGCTGTCACTTCTGACTACAAGGGTCTGTACTACCACGATACTGGTAAGACTTCCACGTTAAGTCATTAATGTGTAACAAGCTGTGTGTTCTGGGAGAAGGCTCTCTTACACTGTCTACATAAACAAGTTCCCTCCTCTCCAAGTTGTTGGGTGAGACCTGCCTTCCCAGTGCACTGACAGGGTTCCTCCCGTGTGTGTGTCCTTGGACATGTCAGAAGGCATGACGTCTGACAGTACATCTTCCACGTTCACAGCATTCACATGGTTTCTAGAGGACGTGAGTCCTCTGATGAATCATGAGCTGCGACTTCCTGCTGAAAGCAGTCCCACACTCACTGCACCCATAGTATTTATCTCCTGTATGAATTCTCTGATGCCTCATAAGGTGAGACTTTCTAGTGAAAGACTTCCCACATTCACCACATTTATAGGGTCTCTCTCCTGTGTGAATTCTCTGATGGATAACAAGCTGTGCCTTCTCAAAGAAGGCTTTTGCACAATCACTGCATCCATAGGTTTTCTCTCCTGTGTGATTTCTCTGATGCTTAATGAGCTGCACTTTCTGAACAAAGGCCTTCCCACACTCACTGCATTCATAGGGTTTCTCCCCTGTATGAATTCTTTGATGCCTAAGAAGCTGTGGCTTCCAGGCAAAAGCTTTCCTACACTCACTACATTCGAAGGGTTTCTCTCCAGTATGGGTTCTCTGGTGATGAATGAGGCTTGACTTCTCACTGAAGGTCTTCCCACACTCTGTGCACTCATAGGGCTTCTCCCCTGTGTGTGTCCTCTGGTGTGAAATCAGGCTTGACTTCTGGGTGAAGGCCTTTCCACACTCACTGCATTCATACGGTTTCTCTCCAGTGTGAGTTCTCTGATGTGTTAGGAGCTGTGACTTCCCAAAGAAGGTTTTTCCACATTCAACGCATCCGTAGGGTTTCTCCCCTAAGTGAGTCTTCTGATGCCTGATTAGCTCTGACTTCTTAAAGAATGCTTCTTCACAATCAGCGCACTGGTAGTTCTTCTCTCCCGTGTGAGTTAGTTGATGCTTGATAAGCTGTGGCTTTCTGATGAAGGCTTCCCCACACTCGCTGCACTCATAGGGCTTTTCCCCCGTGTGGATCCTCTGATGTCTGATGAGCAGCGAGTTCCTGCTGAAGGCTTTTGTGCACTCGTTACATGCGTATGGTTTTTTCCCCGTGTGAGTCCTCTGATGAGTAATCAGCTGTGACTTCCAGAAGAAGGCTTTCCCACAATCACTACACTTATAGGGCTTCTCTCCTGTGTGGGTTCTCTGATGGGTAATGAGCTTTAACTTCTGGGAGAAGGCTTTCCCACAGTCACTGCAGCCATAGGGCTTCTCGACTGTGTGGGTTCTCTGATGTCTCTTGAGCTGCGACTTCCTGCTGAAGGCTTTCCCACACTCACTGCATCCATAGGGCTTCTCTCCTGTGTGCGTCCTCTGGTGTAAAATGAGCAGGGACTTCCTACTGAAAGCTTTCTGACATTCACCACATCCATATGGTTTTTCTCCTGAATGAGTCCTCTGATGAATAGTGAGCAGTGACTTCTGGGAGAAGGCTTTCCCACATTCGCCGCAGCCGTAAGGCTTCTCTCCTGTGTGCGTCCGCTGGTGTATGATGAACTGTGACTTCTTACTGAAAATGCTGCCGCACTCCAAGCATAAATGGACTCCTGTGTGCGTTCTACGGTTTGCAATGGGCCACGACCCTGTCCTGCTAGCCTTCCTACATTTACTGCAATCACAGTATGGCCTTTCACCATGGGTTCTATCAGCTTTGACATACAATAAATATTTCTTATTGAGCTCATCAAGTTTTTTTCTTCTACGGTTATTTTTTGGAATAAGAAACTCAAAAGGATGTTTCAGACTTTTTTCACCTGTGCCACATTTATGGGTTCTCATTCCTAAATGAACAAAGTTAATGCTTGAATGAAATATTTTCCTAAAAACATCATATTCATGGCCTCTCTCCATACTTCTAAGCTTGTCTTGATTATCCTGGTGCCACATTTTGAGACTGTTATCTAGCCAGACTTCTTCTAAAAAGGAAAAAAATGAATCATACTGTGTAAATCCCCCAATGATTACACTCATTGAATAAAACTGAAATGGAGCCTAGGATCCCAATTAAAACAAAACAAAACAAAAACCCTCCCAAATATAATGTCTACTTATTGGACATTAGAAATTTTGACAGATACTGTATGTTAACTAACTGGAATTTAAATAAAAACTTAAAAAAATTTTTTTAACAGAAATGAAAACATTTAAAAGTTACAAATGTTTAGAAACATGAACTTTTAAATTAGAAAAGATGAAATACACTCAAGGAGCAGTGATCATGAGCAATTTATGCTCAAATACTGGAGTGATTAATTTCCTTATTCAACAACAATCCGATTATCTGCTGTATGTCCAGAGGAAAGACAAGGGAAGACCACAGGTAACACCCCCGAGTCAGAGGCCTCATGATACAGCGAACACTAGCAATAACCAGCACATGAAGAGCAAAACTGGTATACACTGCTGAGTCCTACGAAGGGGGAAATACTGAATACAGAGCTAATACAGGATATCAAGCTTTCATCCAAAAGATGAGAAACATTAGGTTCCTGTACGATCATTACATTTAAAGTACATTCTCATTCAAGATTGTCACCTGAATCACTGACTTCACCATCAAGGCTATTTCCTGATAGCCAGCATCGACAGGTTTATTTAGTTTTTTTTGACATTTTAAGAGTCTATAATCTATATGATGAATCTACATGTAATCCTATCCATGAAAATCATTCCAAAACCACAAGAATTCTCTGTAGAAGGACATTAGGACAGACTCTTTGTTACCCAGTAAGTACAACTGTTTGTGATTTCTACAACATGATCATTTATTGGATATTTTAAAGTGAAGGTTTGTTTACTTTATGATATTCTTTACTAGTAATTGTGAGGTAATATTCCTAGAGGGTACCCTGCAAGTCAAAAGATTTGGCAAGACCTCAAATATAAGGCAACTACTTCTTTTCTGCAGGTTTTTTTTTTTTTTTTTTTTTTGGTGTGTGTGGGAGACTTATCTAATTCTCAGACATATCAGAATTTCAGAAAAAGGACCAACTAGAGTTGCTGATATAGAGAATAAAAGGATTCGATATTTTGAGCTTAAGTGAGTAGAGGTATTAATACTATTCATTGAGATGAAAAAGACTGAGAAAAAGTTTGGAGATTAAAAGCAAGAGTCATGGGGCGCCTGGGTGGCTCAGTCAGTTAAGCGCCTGCCTCTGGCTCAGGTCATGCTCCCAGGGTCCTGGGATCGAGCCCTGCATCGGGTTCCGCAGAGGAGTCTGCTTGTCCCTCTCTCCCTGCCCCCACTCGTGTTGTCTCTCTCAAATAAATAAAATATTTTTTTAAAAAAGCATTAAAAAAAAAAGCAAGGGTCATATGTAGACATGTAAGTGTGAAGTCCAGCTGAAGTTTATAAAAAATGGTTTCATGAAATCTGAGTAAAGAAATGAAAATTTTAAATTAAAATCAAAACAAAAAATAAAATTAATAAATATACAAGTTAATAAATAATATAAAATAATATTCAAGTAGTTCAATTCCATCAAAAAATATTTAAGAAATAAAAAAATCTTGGGGCGCCTGTGGGGCTCAGTCAGTTGAACGTCCAGTTCTTGGTTTCAGCTCAGGGTGTGATCTCAGGATCCTGGGACCTGACCCTGTGTCAGGCTCTGTGCTCAACAGGGAGTCAGCTTGGGATTCCGTTTCTCCCTCTCTCTCTCTCTCTCTGCACCCCACCCTCTCTCTCTCTCCAAAAAAAAAAGAAAAGGAAAAGAAATAAAAATCTTGTCATTTTGGAAAACGAGTAAGTTGTCTCCTACTGGTATTATGCAGGGCCAGGCACAGGTGAACCCACTTCTCTCTGTTACACTCTGGTCCACAATGCTTGCATTTCACTTTAGTTTTCAAACTAATATTCCTACTTCCAGCCTTGCTCCCTCCCAACTCTAGTCTCCAGAGAGCCACTGAGCTTTAGAAAATGTGATCAGGCTTTTTAGCCCCTTGCTTAAAAAAAACCCTTTGATACATGCAAGCTTTTGCCATGGCTCACATGCCCTAGCATGCCCCAGTCTTCCCAGCCTCTCCGACTTCCCCTCACACACTCCTGCTCACTGCTGCTCCACCACATGAATTCCTTTCCGTCCCTTCAATCTCAAAGGCCTTTTCTGCCTCAAGACCTCTGCAATGGCTGTGCCTTTTATTTGGCACGCTCTTCCCAGCTTTCGGCGTGGCTCCTTCAAGTGTAAAAATCATTTCGAGGGCATCCTAACAACATCCCGTTTAATTCCTTCATAGCACTTATCAAATAGGTGATCACCTTACTTCTGCGTCCCCCACTAGAATGTAGACCGTGAGGGCAGGGAAGAGGTTTGATTTCTCACTGATGTAACCCCAATGCATGCAGGGAGCAAGCCCTCAATGCATGTAGGATAACACTGTGCACTCACAACTGCATTTCTAAAGAAGTTCCTTTCTGTATCATTAATCTTGATAAAAAAAACTTTGCATTTTAAGGGGCGCCTGGGTGGCTCAGTCATTAAGCGTCTGCCTTCGGCTCAAGTCATGATCCCGGGGTCCTGGGATCGAGCCCCGCGTCAGGCTCTCTGCTCCACGGGAAGCCTGCTTCTCCCTCTCCCACTCCCCCTGCTTGTGTTCCTGCTCTCACTCTCTCTCTCTGTCAAATGAATAAAATCTTTAAAAAAAAAAATCTGCGTTTTAATACAAATGCTTTGTATTCAAATACTGAATTACTGAATAAATATAGTTCTCCATTTTCTTCTATGTTAAAATTGTCTTCTCCTGCAATGCTATTTCATGACTCTTTCACTAAATTCCTCTCATTCCACAGGATAGCGGTCATTCTAAATTAATGGGTGAACAGAAAAATCTACCTTCACAGACAGTATTTTCTAAGGTACACATACCCAGACCTAATCATCCATGTGAATGGTACCTAGACATCTATCATTTGAAGTATTTCCTAAGGTGAGCTGAGATAAGTTGCTTAGATGTAGACCTTGGCACTAAAGAATATAAACAAGAAAGGTCCTGCCTTACCTGGCAGCACAACACTCAATTAATGAAACATTTAATAATTACACACCATAAATTCTACAGGGAAAAGAGAAAAATAAGTTACTTGCCATCTTAATATGTGGGTAAAAAATCATTAAGACCTAATTGGATAAAAATTGGTGAAAAATTCCAGATAACGCCTGACCAGGGCCAGGGTTCCTATAATATAACACTAAGTGGGCAGAGATTTCAGAAAGGCTGGGAGTCAACATTCACTGGAGGTGAAAAAGGGCAAAACTGAAGAGAGGCATAGTGTCTACATGGAGAAAGGATACGAAAATCAAAGGCTCAGGTGCAGAGAAAAAATGTATGAAACGTGGAGGAAACTAGTTCTAATGGAGTTAACCCTGACTTCTGGACACAGAAATTAAAAACAAAAAACAAAAAAAATGGATAAGACGTTGCCATACCATGAGGTTCTTCAACGTAAATGTCGTTAAAATATCACATGGCACATGGGGTTAATGAGGAGCCTGGAGAAGATGAACATCAAGGCACCAAAACGAACCCAGGAGCTGATCGCAAGGGGCTCAGTCTGCACAGAGGAGGGAGAGAGGCAGAGCCTCCTCGCCAAGCTTACAGTGTTCGGTTTTTATTCTATGTGCATGGATTCACCTTCTACTCTCTATGGGCTTAAAACAGAAATCCGACAAATTAGAGGGAGAAAAGAAAATAAAGGACTCAGTCAGCATCCCTGCAACAGGAGAAAGTTTTGAACTCTTCAGGAGGAAGAAGGAGGCCTACCCCTGCAGAGTGAAAGTGCAGGAGAGAAGGAAGGGAGCTGAGGAGGCTGGGAAGAGGACCCTTGCCCCAGAGGAGCCAGGCCCGCTATACAGGGGAGGGGGAGGTGCCCTCACGAGCTCATGCAAAGGGCACACCCTGATGTGCAGACCGGGACAGAGAGCATATTAAAATGCAGAACTCAGGTCGCCAGTCCTGAGCCAAGTCTACAGACTCAGGAACTTCAAACAGTTTTACAAATAACATTTCAAAATAACTTTTCAAAACATTATAAACAACCTATCATCAGAAACCTGTGATTCAGGCGCCTGGGTGGCTCAGTCGTTAAGCGTCTGCTTTCGGCTTAGGTCATGATCCCAGGGTTCTGGGATCGAGCTCTGCATCGGGCTCCCTGCTCAGTGGGAAGCCTGCTTCTCCCTCTCCCACTCCCCCTGCTTGTGTTCCCTCTCTCACTGTGTCTCTCTGTCAAATAAATAAAAAAATTTTTAAAAAAAAGAAAGAAAGAAACCTGTGGTTCAGCTTGCACCTGATGACCTCTCACCTGAAAAGTTCTGACTTAGAACTTCTTCATCTATTATCCACGGCTCTTCATGCTCCAGCTTGAAAATTGCATCAGGTTTGATAATTTGATAACCTGTTAATTGGAAACATAAGACAACCTGGACCCAATTCCTTGGGCTGATGGACTCTTAAATATGAAGAATATTTACTGTGAAGGCTATAAGACAAAGCAAGTGAACCAAAATCTTTCAATCGGGTATAGACATCAAAGAATCTTTGACATCTGAAACTTAAATCCAAAATCAGTAAACATCTTAGAGGCCCCACAGTTATTGGATACACACTATTTACATACAAATATTCTTACCCAAGAAAACTAGATTGCTGTAGTTCTCCAACATCACCTCTCTGTACAAGCTCTTCTGAGAAGGGTTAAGTAGCTGCCACTCCTCCGACGTGAAGCCCACAGCCACATCCTCAAAGGAGATCTGGAAAAGCGTCATCACTGTTCAAGCTGCAGTGGTGCTCACGGCGGGACACAGGCTTTCTTCTCTAGCGTGGGAGGCAGCCTCGCCCATCTCTAACTCCCCTCCTTAACGTGGGCTGGCCTTATTGACTCACTTCCACTGAGGAAGAGTCTTCCTCCATCTTGGGAGCCCTGTCTTGCTCCCTCAGGGGGAATCCAGCTGCCACGTGGTGAGGCAGTTCTGTGGAGATGCCTACGTGGAGAGGCACCGAGGCCCGCCAACTCTCATGTGACTGAGCCTGGGAGGGGATCATCTCCCTGCTGCACCCCAAGAGGACCACAGCCCAGCCCAACGTCTTCGTTACAGGGCTGTGTGAGACCCTGAACGGGAACCAGATGTGAACACGGCTGGCAAACTTCTAACCCAGAGAAACTGTGAGAGAAATGTTTATGTTGTCAGCCACTGAAGTTTGGGTAATTTGTTACACAGCAATTGATAACTCATATAATATCCTAACCTTCATTATACTTTGAGAGAAACAAAGAGTTATTAAGCTATTTATCATTTTGAATTCACTCATCCATCCATCCACCTATCCATTAAGAAACTGGAATACATTGTGTTTAAATAAGCACAGTCCTTCTCAAAGAAAGTGCCACTGGTATGTGGGGACAATTCTTAGCCGAACCCCACGCAGTGTCAGACCTCCAGCATGCCTGGCACCTACCTGCTGAATGACAGTCCTATTTTCCTGTTACTGTCAAAACTAAAAACACGACTACAGATCTATAACACTCTCCTCCCTCACATCTGCACCCACGTGGTAACAACTAGCTCTCCACGTATCCTCTGGAACACCTATATGGAGCAACCAGAGCTCCCCAAACTGTGAATGGTGCCAAAAATATAAAGATGAGCAGAATAAAAATCATGTTCTTAAAACTTTTCAGTCTTTTCAGGCCAGGAAAGAAGGTGTTACAGAGGCCAGGAAAAAGTACATAGAGGGTTTTGGGACAAAAGGCAAAGAAGCTACAAAGTGAAAACAATGTGGAAAAAGAACAATGTTGTGGGATTCACCCTACCTGACTTCACAACTTCCTATAAAGCCACAGTAATTAAGACAATCTAGTGTTAGTCAAAGGATAAATACATAGAGGAATGGAACAGAACAGACAGTTTACAATTACACCCCCCTTAGTATGCTCAATTGAATTTTGACAAAAGGATTCCATGAAGAAAGGAGATTTTTCAACAAATGGTGCTAGAACAATTGTATACCCATAAGCAAAAGAATAAACCTCAACACATACCTCATACCTTATATATGGAAAACATAAAACTATAAAGCTCTAGGAAAAAATCTGCATGATCCTGGGTTTGGCAGTAAGTTTTTAGATATAACTCTGAACATATGATCAACTTAAGAAAAAAAGTCAATGAAATGGGCTTTTTCAAAATTAAATTTTTTTCTATGTGAAAGGCACTGTTAAGAGAAAGAAAAGACGGGGTGCCTGAGTGGCTGAGTCCTTAAGCGTCTGCCTTCGGCTCAGGTCATGGTCCCAGGGTCCTGGGATCGAGCCCCGCATCGGGCTCCATGCTCCGCGGGAAGCCTGCTTCTCCCTCTCCCACTCCCCCTGCTTGTGTTCCCTCTCTCGCTGTCAATCTCTCTGTCAAATAAATAAAATCTTTAAAAAAAAAAAAAAAGAGAAAGACAAGGCACAGACTATGAGAAAATATTTGAAAATTACTAATCTGACAGAACACTTATATCCAGAATAAAGAATTTTTTTTAAAGATTTTATTGATTTATTTGATAGAGAAAGAGAGAGAGCATGAGCAAGGGGAGGGGCAGAGGGAGAAACAGACTCTCTGCTAAGCAGGGAGCCCAACACAGGGCTCGATCCCAGAACCCTGAGACCATGACCTGAGCCGAAGGCAGCCGCTTAACCAACTGAGCCACCCAGGCGCCCCCAGAATAAAGAATTCTTGACACTCAACAGTAAGAAAACAATTCAATTAAAATATGAGCATCTCTTGAAGGGAAATATAAGCAAAAATAAACCATTGGAACTTCATAAAAATAAAAATCTTCTACAAAGCAAAGGAAAAAATCACCGAAACTAAAAGCTAACCTACAGAATGGGAGAAGATATTTGCAAGTGACATATCTGATAAAGGGTTAGTACCTAAAATATATAAAGAACTGATACAACTCAACACCCCAAAAAACAAATAATCTAATTTAAAAATGAGCAGAAGACATAAACAGACATTTCTCCAAAGACAATAGACACATAAAAAGATGCTCCATGTCACTAGCCATCAGAGAAATGCAAATCAAAACCACAATGAGGTATCACCTCACACCTGTCAGAATGGCTGAAATTAACAAGTCTGGAAACAACACGTGTTGGTGAGGACGCAGAGAAAGGGGAACCCTCCTACACTGTGGGAGGGAGGGATGCAAACTGGTATAGCCACTCTGGAGAACAGTATGGAGGTTCCTCAAAAAGTTGAAAATAGAGCCACCCTAGGACCCAGCAATTGCACTACCGGGTATTTACCCAAAGAATACAAAATCAATAATTCAAAGGGATACAAGCACCCCTGTTATAGCAGCATTATCTACAATAGCTTAATTATAGAAGCAGCCCAAGTATCCACTGACTGATGAATGGATAAAGATGTGGTGTGTACACACAATGGAATGTTACCAACCAAAAAAAGAATGAAATCTTGCCATTTGCAATGACGTGGATGGACCTAGAGAGTATAATGCTAAGTGAATTAGGTCGGTCAGAGAAAGACAGATACCATCTGATTTCACTCTTATGTGGAATTGAAGAAACTAAACAAATGAGCAAAGGAAAAAAAAAGAGAAACAATCCAAGAAACAGACTTAACTACAGAGCACTGGTGTTTAGCAGAGGGGAGGAGGGTGGGGAGGAGTGAACCGGGTCCAGGGGACTAGGCGTACACTTACCGTGAGGAGCACGGAATGATGTGTGGAAGTGCTGAATCCCTACACTGCACGCCCGAAACTAATACAACACTGCATGTTAATGACACCAGAATTAAAATGAACAAAACCCCTCTTATTTAAAAAACAAACAAGAAAGATGAGCAAAAGATCTTAACACACACCTCACCAAAGGAGATATACAGATAAAAAATAAACATATGAGAAGATGTTCAGCATCATTTGTCAATAGGTAAATATGAATTAAAACTATAATGAGACGTTACTACATACCTATTAGAATTGCTGAAATTAATTCAAAAAACCTACACAAAAAGTGACAAATGCCAGTGAGGATGCACAGCAATAGCAACTCTCATGCAATGAAGGTGGGAATGCAGTGACCTTGGAAGAGGTTTTGGCAGCTTCCCATAAAGCTGAGTGCGGAACTACCACACAACGCAGCAATCCTACTCACATACCTGCTCCCCTCAAGAGTTATGTTCAAGCCTGTATGCAGATGAACACAACTGCTAAAAACTGAAGCAACCAAGATGTCCTTCCAAAGTGAAAGGACGAGCAAACTGGTGTGTTCGTATGATGGGTTACTGTTCTGGGACTCAGCAATAAAAGGAACAGACTACCGATTCAAATATGGATGAATCTCAAAGATTTAAGTGAAAAAAGCCAGTAGCAAAAGGGTATGTATGTATGATTCCGTTCTCCAACATTCCGGAAAAGGCAGAACTGCAGCGACAAGAGCAGATCGGTTGTTGCCAGGACCGCAGGATGCATGAAGGCGAGACGGGGAATGTCTCTGGAGACCTGGAGCCGTTCCAAGTCCTGACTGTAATGTTGGTTACACGTCTGAAAAGTCATGAGGAGTCAAGCTCCTGGTTAAGGCCCAAGCACAGGTAAACTAAAGGCTTTACCTGACTGGCCTCCCAAGGAAAGCTGCCCTTCCCTACACCGATGTGGCACCAGAGGACTAGTATCCTGGTCCTCACTGCTGAATGTGCTATTGGTGTGGACTTACTGCCTATGTACCGTCTGGCCAGACTTCGCCCCTAAGCCCAGACAGCAGCGGCCACAGCCAGGGCCATGACAGCAGCTATATGGAAGACTTAACCTGCCTCGTGGGCTCTAGCTCGTGCCCCAGGTGAGCCCCAGACTGGCAGGTAAAATGAACCCTCCTGCTGGATGACACATTTGGATACAAGTAAGATCTGTTCCTAATAAGCTCGATTTTTTTTTAAGATTTTATTTATTTAATTGAGAGAGTGAGCGTGTATGGGGGGGGCAGAGGGAGAGGGAGAAGCCGACTCCCTGTTGAGCAGGGAGCCCAATGTGGGGCTCGATCCCAGGACCCTGGGATCATGACCTGAGCTGAAGGCAGACGCTTAATTGAGCCACCCAGGTGCCCCTAGCTAGCCAAATCTTAAACATGATGCATCTTTCTGGTTAAGTTACATAATATTTGTCCTTCTTGCATACAATCTTTCCAGACAAAGGGTCTGGATGAAAACAGGAGATGAACTTTTAAAAAGTTTTGATTACTAAATGGGACACACTGATCGCTTCTCAGCCTTTTGGCTAAGATCAAGTGTAAATGGGACACACTGATACTAACAACAGAAAAACAAAAACAAAATAAACCTAGCACCTGAGGAAGCATGGGGTTGGAGGACACGAATGATCTTTGTTTTTTGGACTTACTCCTGAAAGCTTTCCCCTCCTACTGCAAAAAAGAAAAACCAAAAGAAACAATTTTCAGTGCTGCCTTTGCAAGCTCATGGGGATGCTCTGGATTTAGACTGACTGCTGGAGCAACAAAGATGCCTTCCTGACGGGCCGATGGGGAGACAGCAGAGGACAGACTCTGCTCCTGCACTTTCCAGGCCAAACATGCCCAGATGGTGCCCACATCTAACAAAGTGTGGACTAATAATCTGAGGTCGTGGACAAAGTGATTTGGAAGGAAATGCCCCAAGCAGTCCCTCTAAAACCGCATTATCCAGACTGGACTAAAAACCCCAGGGCAGAAGGGCCCACACTGGGGGCTGTGTTAACCTAGCTG